TTGAGTCTACTGTTCATCGTCTGCAGTATGAAATCGAGGAAGAAAAATCCAGAGCCGAGTCAGCCATTTCTGAAGCTGCAAATTTGTCCAAGTCTCGCGAAAAGCTTTTCTCAGGTTAGCTTCGTTCCCATCATTATTTGGGTCTTTTTCATTTTTCCTTCTGGTTAAAGTTTGAAGACATTGAATGGAATATGGAGTAATTAACCTAAAAAAGATGGGATTCACGGACTTTTTTTGGGTAAACGTCGTACAATATTCTAAGTATCCAGCATGAAACTGCAATTATCTGGCTTATTTTGACCAAGTGTCATTGATCAGGACAGCCTGCGATTGATGATGAAATCTTCTGCATTTACTCAAAACCCATGCACCCTCAGGTGAAACGCACACCACAGTTTTGTAGCTGAACATTTTGATAAAATTGTTTCACGGAGTAATATGCACGCCCCATTTTTAGTTACTCTAAAACTGCAATATTCCTAACTTGAGAAGCCAAATTTCAAGTTGGAAATGAATTCAACCTGAATGGAACTCATTTGTACTTGATTCCATTACAGTTGAGTAGATTCGTTGTTACTGTTTAAATTAGACCAAAATTTTCCATTAGAATCAAGTAAAATATAATGAACATCAAAACTTTCAATAATTCGTAAAAAAAAAAAAATTCACTAACCAGCTATGATGCGTAGCCCTGTTTTCCTCTCAAATTTGAGAAAGAAGGCGCATGTGGTAATCAAGTAAATATGGCAATCTACAAATGCTGCATATATTCAAATGCAAGCTTTGAAAATGACCTGAAGTTACATAATTACATTAACCAAAATTTGAATGAGAAGGAACCACAGTTTAAAGATCATTCTTTAAACCTTAATTACATACAATTTTGCTAAAAATCCATTCAATGCCAGATTATTTTTCAAGACCAGACAAAGAAATTCTGGTCGGGAAAAATTTTGAAAATGCAAATCACGAACACGTCACAATAATCGACTGGAATATCAATTGTTCTTGCTCTGAAAAAAAAAACTGAAAGGGGATTTCTTGTCGCAGAATTTAAAGTGAGATAAAAAATAATAATTCGTAAAACAGTAAAATCGCTAGTATTCGACAGAACAATGTTGAATGATTCGTTCAAGCGCAATTGAATAGCATGCTAATTCTTCTGAATAATCTTATTCTGATTTTCAATGCGATACGATTTTCTTGGTATTGATACTTTTTTCGCAGACAAACAACACGTGGAAGCAGAATTGCAGTCTGCAGCCCAAGAGAATGAGGAGCTACGAGGTCAACTCGTGCAGGCTTCGGACAACCACAAAAAGGAAATTCTTGAGATGCAAACGACTTTCAAGCAACTCATGGACGAAAGTGCAACTCAACTGGGCATTGTGCGTCAACTGCAAATTGAATTATCCAGTCTAGGTGACAAGTACGAATCGACTTGCTCCGACCTGAAAGCAGCTTTAGCAGAGAAGGAAGTTTGCAGCACCAGGATTGCACAGCTTCAGGATGAACTGGAAAATACTAGAAAGCAATTGTCTTGCAGCGATTCTGAAGTCGAAGCTTTACGCAGCCAGGTATAGTCTTCATTATTTAATTTAAAAAATACAGTACTGTAATAACTAAAGCACCTTGTGCTCTTCAGTTGGACACACCTCAATTCTTATGCGTGACATTCGCTCAAAATTAGCTTATTCCTGCGTAAGGCATGTAACCTAGTGGCTATTGACTAAAAATATTGTAATACAGTACTTTGTAACAAAATCAAATTATGTTGGAATAAAGTAATATAAATCAACGCAACAGAACACTTGACAATTCATTTCTTTTTCACAATGAATGACATTTGACTTGCAGTTTTAAAAATAATTTTCTCTTAGAAAAATGTATGCACACATACATCCTACTTTTCTGTTTTGATTTTCCAGAAAAAAAATTTTACTTTGAGGCTGTACCTCAATCAACAGCTGTCACATTTTCAATCCCAGTGGCGACTGTTCATAAAATTGGCACAATGACCTCGGAAGACCTGGAGCCAAATTTTGGAATTAATTCCATGTTGTTCTCAAGAATTCTGCAGAACGTCTTCAGCAAAAATTCTGCAAAATAAATGCATCATTTTTTGAGTCAAAAGCAGAAAACTGCCACAGTGACTTATCAAAAAAAAAAAATCTCAAACAGAGCTGAATTGTTTTTCTTGAACCAGGGATTGGTTTTTCCTAACAATGATAGTGTTTCAGCTCGATCATAAATGTCTTTCAAACTTCTATCCCAAGAAATTTTGATATACCTCATCGCATACTGAAAATGCGTTATTCCCAAAATTAATGATTCGGCTTCGCGTTCAGGGCTGATGGAGTCATATGTTTTACTGACTCTCACCCTTTCAAAAGTTATTCTAGAAAATATTTGAGAAGTTTATAATATAAATCAAACGTTCAATCATTCACACGTTTTCGTTTCTCAGGTTCAACAACTCACACAAGACCGCGACCAATTGAGCAGCCAGCTTCAAACAGTTTCGTCACTTGCGGAACAATCCCAGGATGAAATCCAGCGCCAGAACCAAATCCTCGCTGATTTGGGCGCTGCCATGCAATCCAAAGATGAGCGCATCGAAGAACTCAGCAACTCCGTCACAGATCTAGAAGGATACCTGTCGTCCAAAGACTGCGAAATCCACGAACTGGACGAACGTCTCAGCACAGTTGTCAACGAAGCCTCTCGCCTTCACTCGGACCTCGCCGATAAGGCCGACAAACTCACGTCTCTCACGCACAATTTCGGCGAGCTGAATTGGACAGTGGAGTCGGTGAGATCCGAACTCGAAGACCGTTGCTCTCAAATGCAGCGCTTCTCCATGGAACTCGAAGAACTCGCGAGACAGAATTGCGTGCTCAAAGAAATGGTGGAAAACCTGACCTCGGAAAAAACATCCCTCATCATGGAAAATCACTCCATTCACTACGACTACAAGGCTCTCGCCGAAGAGAACGAAAACACGAAACGAGAACTTCAAACCCTTCGCGGCATCAACGACTCACACCAACAACTCTCCACAGAAGCCTTCGAACTCCGATCCAAACTGGAACAAACCCTGTTGGAAAACGAGACCTGGAAACAATGTCTGGAGCAGATCAAGACCGAGAAGGATGAACTCGTGGACACGACCGACACCCTAAACAAAACGCAAACCGAGCTTGCCATGAAGAACTTCGAACTCCAAACCCGTCTAGAAACACTCACCATGGAGTTGGGGATGCTCAAGGCCCAGACTCAGGACTTGTCGTCTGCAAACTCCGACCTGCAAACCCTTTCTGCCCAGTTCGAAAACATGCAGATTGAACGAAACAACTTGCGACACGAGATGGAGATCTATAAAGCACAATGCCAGGATCTTTCAAAGACCACGGAAAGTCTCTCGAATCAGTGCAACAGTCTCTCATCAGAGCTCCAGCAATTATCCTCCGATAACACGCACAAAGACGCAGTCATTGGTTCGCTACAAGAACAATACAACCAGGTCTACGCTCAAGTCAAGGCACTCAGAGAATGCGTTGTTCAGCTAGAGCAAGAACGAGCCGAACTCAGTAAAATCGCGGAAAAACTCGAGCTCGAAAAGCAGCAATTGACCTCCAAGATGACCTCGATTGAAGACGAGGCCTCTTCGAAGCAATCAGAGATTCAGTCTCTCATGGAAAAGGCTATGCAAATCGATCAACACAGCCAACAATTCCAAGTCCTGCAGCAACTCCAAGCGACTCTCCAGGAAGAGAACTCCTGTCTTAAGCAATCCATGGAGTTTCTCAGGCAAGAAAAAGAACAACTCCAAGATCAAATCGACCAGCTGCAGAGAACCAATTTACTCTTGGAGGCCAAGTCCAAGAACTTGGAGACCCGCATCACGGATTCGTGTTCAGAACTAGAAGATGTTCAGAAAAGAGCAGATGCCATGACTGCCAGGGCGGAGGCTTATGCTCTTCTCGGCGAGTCCACCAACTCGGACGTCATCTCGAAAATGGAAGCTGACAAGGCTCGTCTGGAGGCCTCAGTCCAAGAACTGACTTTAGCCAAGGTGTCGCTGCTCAAAGAAAAGGACTTGCTGGTAAGTGAAAACGCGGCTTTAAAGCAAGACGGCAGCAATTCAGCCCACCTGATGGAAACCCTTCTGGGGAAGCTGGATGAGCTGGGGTCCAAAGTCGGGGAGTCTTCCAAGTTGAAAGCGCAACTCCGCATCGTCCTCAACTGCGCGAAAGAAGCCGCCAATTCAACTTCCTCAGCCCAGGTTTTCGAAAAGACCTACACTTTCCAAAACAAAGACAACCTTCAGTCCGAGCTCGAAACTGCTCAGCAGCTCAACCAGGACCTGTTGAACAAAGTCAGTGACCTGGAAGCCAAAAGCAAACAACTGCCCGACCAATTCCAGACCCTACAAGCCGAGCTTTCTTCGACTAAGTCAACCCTCGCTGAGAAAGAATCGCAACTCCATGAACTAGCTCTTATTGCTGAAAAAGCATCCCAAGCTGCTGCAGACACTGAATCAAACAAGCAAAACCTTCATCATGAGATTCAAGACCTGCAAAAAATCCTCGAATCCCTGGTTCAAGAAAAGAACGAGCTTTCCAACGAGCTGAATCTCACTCAGCAAAAATTCAGCTCTGAACAAACGTCTCACGCTCAATCCAAATCAAGGGCCAATGAACTCACAAATGAACTCAACAATCTCCTCGGAAAATACAATTCCATCTCAGAAGAAACGTCTTCTTTCAAATCAGAACTGGAATCAAGGGATAAAAATGTCGAAAAGCTAACGAGAGACGTTTCGGAATTCAGATACATGCTGAGCATTGCAGAGCGGGAAACCTTGGAAAAGGAGAAAGAATTGCAAGAAAGAGACTTGGAAATTGCAAATTTGAGATCAGCTCTCGAACAACTGAAAGCAGACATTCAAACCCTTCGCTCTACACTCCTCGAGGGATCTTCGGTTTCAGAACACCTCATAACCAGACTCAAAACCCTCGAAGATGAGAACCAAAGCCTCGTTTCTCGGCTCGAAGAGGCTGAAACTCGAAGCAAACTTCTGGCGCAACAACAATTCGAAGCTAACGAGTCAAACCAGAAGTTGCTCCAAGACCTCAACAACTCCATGGAACTCCTACAGCAAAAGGACACCGAGATTATCCGTTTGAACAACCTCATTGCATCGTATGAGCTGAAATCAATGAACACAGCACCCCAGGAATGTGAAACAATCCAAAAAGAAACCAGCAAACGCCAGCTGCTGGAATCATCCCCAGCGGCACCCGTCCTGAAACCCCAGCAGATGCTGTTGACCCCCGAGAGACCCATTTCCCCAATGATCCCAGTGGAAGGTTGGATGGAGATATTTTTGCAAAAAGAACAACATCTCAATGACCTTCTCGCGAGACTCGATGAGAAACAGAGACTTCTGGAACAGGTCACGCCAACAGCTTTGACTCTTGGTCAGTCAGAAGAACTCATCATCCTCCGAGACCGCTTGGGTGAAGTTCTGACCCAGAAACAATCACTCACGACAGCACTAGAAACGACCAAACAAGACCTGGACAATCTCCGCGAAAAGTACTCAGACGAGATTGCCACATTGACCTCGGAAATCAATTCAACCCAGGAAGCAATTGAGAAAAAAGAATCTGATCTCGGTTTCCTGCGTCAAGAACTCGATCGCATATTGCTCGAATGCCAGCGATGGAAATTCTATGCCAAGGAAATCCCGCTACAATCCGCTAAAGACGATTCAGAATCAACTAAAGATCAGATAATTGCCAATCTTCGCACTGAGTTAGAAATCGTGAACCACGCTAAAACCGGCCTAGTCTTCCAGCTGGAACGCAAAGAAAGCCTGGAAAAAATCTACGAATCCCTCACAAAAGACTCTGAAGACCAGCGAATCATGATCAGCAACCTTCAAGCCGAACTAGAAATAGTCAACAAATCTAAAACTATCCTCGCTTGTCAGAGATCTCTAGACGAGAAGATAGAAAAGGGCTACGAAGCATTGAAACTGGAGGTCGAAACCCTTGACGCAGAGCTTCAGGTTGTCGGGAAAGCAAAACTTATGCTGGAAAACCAACTCTGTCAGCTGAAAAATGAGCATGAACATTTGAAACTTGAATGGATGAATCAGGAAGCGGATTTGAGTGACTCAATCCGAACGCTCACTTCCGACTGCGCGGAGAAAATCGCCGAAATTTCCGTGCTCACTGACAATCTCGACAGAGTTACCCGGGAAAAAATAGACTTGGAATCAGAGCTTCAGAGTCTCAAATCCGAACTCTCAACTCTCGACAGCAAGTTTCACGAGACTGTTTCAAAAACCTCAACTCTGGACCAAGAAGCCAAAGAGAGAAACTCTCGCATTCAAGACTTAGAGGCTCAATTGTCGAGTGTTTCTCAAGAAAAGCAAGCCCTCTTGGACGACTTACGAACAGTCAACTCTGAGGTGTGTCAACTTCGCGCGGAATGCGACGTGAGAACGTCGGAGCTCTTCATTCTGAAGAGCTCAGCTGAAGGAGCAAATCAAGAAGCCACTTGCGTGAAAGAAAACCTTCTGAAACTGGACCAACAACTCTTTTCTTCGAGGAGCGAATCTGACATCATGCGAGAGGAGCGAGAAGCTCTCAAACACGCCATGGAAGAAAAGATTAATCTTGCGGAGACCCGGGTAAAGAGCGCCGTGGACCAGCTCCACGTCATCCAGACTCAAAACGAGGCTCTGCAGGCCTCTCTGGATGCCAAAGAGATAGATGTGAAGTTTCTGAAATCCCAACTAGATTCCCAACCACTCACACAAGCTCTGGCGAGCTCTTCAAGTAACGACGAGCTTCTTGGTGCTCTCAGACGAGAATTAGACCGCAGAAACGCGTACATTGAAGAATTGACCGCGTCCGTGGTTAAACTAAGCACTTGCAACACAGAACTCACCAATTCGGTCAACTCCAGACGATGTGACTTCGCCGCTCCTGAGACAGACATTGCAGTGCAAAGTCTGCAGACTGAGTTGCAACACAAAGACCTTGAACTGACCCTTATTAGGCACGAGTATGAGCAGGTGATCAAGGAGACAGAGGAGAAATACGAAAACACTTTGTCTGCTTTACAGCAACAGGTCGACTCTGCACAAAGCTACCAAGAAACCGCGGAAAAATATCGCCAGCAACTGCTAACTCAAGAACAAGATTTCAACTTCCAACTCGAGTCTCTCAAATCTGTAAACCCGAAACACGCTTCCGAAATAGAACTCACTCAGCTTAGACGTCAAGTCGCGGATTACGAGGAGCGAATGCGGTCGATTGCTCAGCAATATGAGTCAAAGGTAGAAACTCTGGTGCATCAGCTCAGCGATAATTTGACCGATCAAGAAAGGGACCTCGGGGAACGATTTGAAATTGAATTCGAGGACAGAGCGAGGATGGAACGCGCGGAAACAGCAGCCAAACACAAACAGGAAATCGACGCGATCAATAATCAGTGGGAAGACCGATTGCACACCTTGCGTGAAGAAATGCTTCGACAGCAGCATGCCAATGACCAATTCACAAGCACGCTCCTTAAAAAGCGAGTTTCATGCCATTTCATTGTTAATTAAATAAGAATTACGCAGTTTCCATCGACGAGCTCATCTTCAGTATGATTTCAAATAGATTTCCGGGCGATACACGAGGTCTCTTAATGAGAAACACGAGGAACACGCATACACGATTCTATCGTTTGCGAAACCTTGAATGTATCCGCGATCAATTTCCAGATATTTCCGCAAGACAATATATTCAATTTCAAAATTCAAGAACAAATGCTTCTAAAATTACACTCAAGCAACACGAGCATATAAAAAATACCTCTGGTTTCAGTCGCCAGTTCACGAAGCAGTACTTTTTATGGTGGAGTCCATATATACAGTACTGTAGTAACAGTTACTCCAAGTCAACTACAGTATTTCTCGGTGAAAGCTGAACAGCAATGTCAATTAATCTTAGACGTATTACTATGCTCATTATTCAGCACAAAAAACTCCCATCGAACTAAAAATCACCTGCCCTTCGCTCGCACCGTGTAAATTTCATTTCAGTGAGGTCTACGCGGTACTCTAATAAATGCATTTGAATATTGACAATCTATCTTCAGGCGATGGAAATTAATTTGGAAGCAAGGCTTGATGTGCCGTCGATGGTAACCGAACTGCTTAATTCGACAAATGAAGTCTCATAAATTCAATCCGAATAATGTATGCAACAATTTCGGACGTGAAGGGAATCGGAATCGAACCAGATGCAAGCCCTTCAAAAGCGTGTGCAGGAGCTGCAAGATCTTCTAGAAGCGACATCTACTCCCTCGCCCATAACCACTCAACTCCAGCCCTGGACAGCCGAAGACTCGTACCAAGGCCGGATCCAAGAACTCATCGCGAAACTCGGCGAAATGGAAGCAGAAAAGAACCGCCTGAAGCGCAAGATCGACGAGCTGAACCGACTCCACGCTCAGGAAATCCAATCCTACGTCAGCACTATCCAGTCCTGCTTCAGTGCAGGCAGTGACGTGGCATCGAAGTTCGAGCACTTGCGGAAAATGCAGCAGCTGGAGTTGGCCAATGCCCAGGCCAGGCTACGCGTCGAATACGAAGCCAAGGTCATGGACTTGAAAACAAGGTTCGAAGACAAACTGCGCGAGCTCAAGGTACGCAACCCGCACGGATCACAAGCGTGACAGAACGATGAATATACATTGCACGAAGAACACTACGGCGTGTGGTTGATGTATAAATTATATGCATACATAGAAAACAGACCCATCCGAGAAAGAGAAAAACCAGTTCCGTCTGAGTTTGGACCCCAGCTCATCCAGCTCTCCACCATCCGCGACTACAGCGCTTTCGCCCGTATCATCCTTTGGTTTACCCTTTATTCCTCATTGCTTCAGCTTATAGATCAGCACTGTAGTACCCAACACTATTCAGAGGCTTCGTATATACTGGTGAAGTTATTTGGAAATTTATTTGATTCCTATATATGCACCTTTTTTCCAGCTAAGATATTAAGCATAATTATAATCGAGATGCATTCCATCGGGGCTTATTCACGAAGATTTTTTTCAGCTTGATTCCCACAAAAAGTTGTCGACCATAGCTTTTTTCAGCAGCTTTTAGTCCATATCGATCGATTTTTTTTTGCTATTGGTTGACAGTTTTGCATTCCGCTGACTCACCTGTGTTATTTCTTCGTAATGCCCCAAATCTAATTAAGTGATAAGAAAATAATGTACAGCCAAATCTGCGCATTGAGTACCGACCTTTGAAAAAACTTTGTCATTTAAGGGCGTCTCATTTTCTGCATGTATTTAGTAAAAAAATTAGTCTGTAAAGTTTAATTTTTCTGAAAAAACAGCGTCCGCATTATTTGAAAACTTCTACATTTTATTACATATTCCACAATTCTGAACATTGAATATATTCGTGGATATTGAATGAAACTATTTCTGACCTGCAACTTTCTCGACGAAAATTTCTTGAATTTTCATGTAACAGAATCATTCTGGAACAATTTAACGCAGGAACAACGATTCAGATTCCAGAATGATCGTAAAAATGCTGTTTGACGTGTTTTTCGAATTCGATCAAATAACGTGAGCTTGAAAATACTGTATATAGCGGAATCGTCCAATTGGGAAAAAATTGAATTTGATACCGAAGATCTAATATTCGTGAGCAAAATCGTCGTCGTCTTCGGGGTGGAAAAAAGGTCAATGAAGTCTTATATTCAAGTAAATAC